GGCAGGAAGTGGCTGGTTAACTTCTATGCCTCAGAAACAAAACAGCTCTCTATTACTCACAACAGGGAACCATCCCTGCCGGCCATTAGAATGTCTGATGCTCAACTCACAGGGAGCACCTCTTTACAATAGTTTGGTTTCACAATGTCCGTTGACCTAAGATGGAACAATTACATTGAATCAATAGCTTCATCTACCGCAAGGAAAGTTGGTTCTCTGTGTCGCGTCAAAAAGTTTTTCTCGTCTGAGTCCATCCTTCAAATATACAAATCAACCATTCGCCCTTGCATGGAATACTGCTGCCGTATATGGTCTGGTGCTCCCGCTGTTCGCCTTAATATCCTCGACAAGATCCAGAGACGGGTAATCAATGTGGTTGGTCCTGATCTGGCCTCTCGTCTTCAGTCAGTCTTTCACAGACGCACTGTCGCCTCCCTCTGTCTTTTCTACAAATACTTTCACGGTAACTGCTCCGACGATCTACTTTCGCTAGTTCTCAGACTGCATGAATTTAAGCGTGCTACTAGGCTGACATCACGGCCCCCACCGTTTCATTGTCGAAACTGTTAAATGTGGCCGTCTCTTCTACTCCAATAGCTTCATATCTCGCACTTCCCGTCTGTAGAATTCCTTTATTACTTGTTTTTCTGATAGTTAATTTCTCCAACTATTAAGATGTAATGTCAATCGACATCTCCAGATGCCCTGAACTATCCCCTGCCCTTCTCTTCATCCTTTCCTCCATCACACCTCTTTACTCTCGCTTCCATTCTGTAACCCCTTGCGTACTAGTGGCATCCGCCTTGCTTGGGGTGAAATGCTTAAAAAAAAGCTCTATCGCACAACATTTAAAGATACATTCCTGCTCTTCTTCACAATTCAGAAAAATACTTCTTGTTAATACAAGTATACTCCACCATGAAAAAACAAACACTTCAAATTCTCGTGACCCTTTATATAAGCAGCAAACAACCAACACTAAATAAGCTTAACTATGAGTATAGCAACTGTGTTCATAATAGCAGTATTTTTTAAATATCTAGAATTATAATTATACAAATTAAAGTTATCTCGCTTCAATCAAAAACATGGAAAAAGCGTCATAGCTTTAACAATTAATTTTAAGTTAATTATAACAGAGAGTGTTTCATGCGTATTTACACAAAAATAAGAACTACCAATTGCATTATTTTTTTGTCTATGCAATTCACCCCTGAATATGATTTTTGCTGAAACTGAAAGTATCTGGAAAAATAAAAATGAAAGAAAAAAAAGTACGCGCCTTCCTTAATAGATTAAATATCACTATTAAAAAGTCAATCAGAGAATTCGATCCACGTGGACAAGTAAATTCATGGATATGTAATAAAAATAACAAAGGTGATGGAAGGAAAAACAAAAGTAAAAAGAATCTAAATGAAATCGAACAGATTATATACCCTAAACACATAAAAATTAAAATTCCAAGCGTCTGTTCTTCGTGCGCATGCGTGGTCAGGATCAATGTAAACGAGTTTAGCCGATGAATTCCTAAAGGACGAAACGCGTCACAGGTTTTTCCACTTTGTCATACATTCTTTCCTCAAAATTGTTCTTGACATATAAAAATTTATATATCGTTATCCCCTCTTATATATATATAATATATTCGAATCTCACCATGGTCGATTTGTCAGGAAGGGGACTTCCTGATGTTATCGGACTGGAGGGGTCGATCCCAGTGTGCGGCACCTTTGTAAAGAGCCTGAAAACCTTGTGATTGAAATTGGGTAGACCGGATCCTTTGTAGCCGGCGACAGCTATTCTAGCACGAAGTCACAACCATCATGTGTATATATATATATATATATATATATATATATATATATATATATATATATATATATTATATATATATATATATATATATATATATATATATATATATATGTGTGTGTGTGTGTGTGTGTGTGTGTGTGTGTGTGTGTGTGCACGAGGCAAAAAAGAATGGTCGCATCCAAAAGTCGATTTTTGTATTTTTACCAAAACAAGTGAGTAATAGAATTCGTAAATTAATACAGGCTATTAATAAAGGTGTACATATGTACATTATACAAGTCAAAAAACGATTTGGTATTATGTTGGGCAACCTTTTGCTTTAATTACGGCCTTAATTCTTCGTGGCATGCTATAGACTAAATTCTTTAGTAAGTCAACGTCCTTCGCCAGATTTTTCCAGCATTCCTTTAATTCGCGAAAAAGCACATCTTTTGTATTAACTTTCCTATTACAGGCACATTGTCCATTATCGCCCAAAGGTTTTCAATTGGGTTAAGATCAGGACTGTGACTAGGCCACTGGAAGAGTCGCCATTTAACCTCATCGCGCTTCCTTTCTCGGTAATGTTTATTCTTTAAGGCAGATTGCTTAAGATCGTTATCATTACTAACTCATTTTTTGTCTTGTATAATGTACATATGTACACCTGTATTAATATCCTGTATTAATAAACCAATTCTAT